CACCCCCCCCAACCCCTCACCTCCCCCCCCGACCCTCCCAGGCCATTCCCGGACACACGTGGCCAGCGCTGCCCCCCCTCACCCCTCCCAGTTAATCCCAGTTAATCCCCAGCAGCCGCAGCTGGGACGAGCTGTGGGGAGGCCCCGGAGCGACCCCGGCACCCACAGACCCCCCAGACCCCCCCTGAACACCCCTGACACCCCCTGAACACCCCTGACCCCCCCTGAACACCCCTGACACCCCAAATCCCCCCGATCCACCCCCTCGATGCTCCCAATCCCCAACAGAGCCCCCAAATCCCCTTGAAAGCCCCTCAGACCACCCACCCTCTCCCCGTCCCCCAGGACACCCCAACCCTCCCAGACACCCCTAAAATACCCCCAGACCCCCCCAGATCCCCCCACCCTCCTAGAAACACCCCCCTGAAATCCCCCCATGTCGGAGTCAGAGGAGAATGGAGAGGGTGAGTCTGGGGGGGTCCTGGGGGGGGTCCTGGGGGGGTCCTGGGGGGGAAACGACGTCCCTTGGGAAGAAGTGAAGGTTCAAGGGGGGTCACCAACAAAATGGGGGGGTCCAGGAGGACTGAGGGGGGTCCAGGAGGTTTTGGGGCAGGGCCCTGGTCTGTGGGATGGGTGGGGGGTTCAAGGGGGGGGGCAGAGGGGTTTGGGGGGGGATCTGGGAAGGTTTTGGGGGGGTCCAGGAGGGTTTGGGGGGGTCCAGAAGGTTGGGGAGGGGGCAGGAGGGTTTGGGGGGGTCCAGAAGGTTGGGGAGGGGGCAGGAGGGTTTGGGGAGGTCCATAAATTTGGGGAGGGGGCAGGAGGGTTCGGGGGGGTCCAGAAGGTTGGGGTCTGGGATGGGGCAGGGGGGAGGAGGGCGGGTTCTGGGGGGTTCCGAAGTTGGGGCGGGGGCAGGAGGGTTCAGGGGGTCCAGAAGGTTGGGGAGGGGGCAGGAGGGTTCGGGGGGGTCCAGAAGGTTGGGGAGGGGGCAGGAGGGTTCGGGGGGGTCCAGAAGGTTGGGGAGGGGGCAGGAGGGTTTGGGGGGGTCCATAAATTTGGGGAGGGGGCAGGAGGGTTTGGGGAGGTCCATAAATTTGGGGAGGGGGCAGGAGGGTTTGGGGAGGTCCATAAATTTGGGGAGGGGGCAGGAGGGTTTGGGGAGGTCCGGCACGACTTGGGGGGACCCAGGAACGTTTGCGGGGTCCTTCCCCCCTCCTTGACCCTCCTTTTCCCCCCCAGGCCCCCCCAAGGACCTGCCCCCCTTCGCCCAGGCCATGGGGCAGCCCCTGGGCTGGGGGGGCAGCGACGGCGCCGGGGGGGGGGCGGGCGGGGGGACCCCCCCGGGGCAGCGGCAGCGCCGCCCCCCCCACCCCAAGCACAAGGGGGCCCAGGGGGGCTCCGGGGGGGTCCATCGCTCCCCCCGCGCCCTCTTCTGCCTCCGCCTCAACAACCCCGTCCGCAGGGCCGCCATCAGCATCGTCGAGTGGAAGTGAGTGGGGGCCGGGGGGGCGGGGGGGGATTGGGGACCCCCCTCACCCGCTGCCCCCCCCCCGATCCCCCCAGGCCCTTCGACATCCTCATCCTCGCCACCATCTTCGCCAACTGCGTGGCCCTGGGCGTTTACATCCCCTTCCCCGAGGACGACTCCAACGCCGCCAACCACAACCTGGTGAGACCCCCCGGCCCCCCCAGAGCACGGGGGCACCCCCAGAACACGGGGGACACCCCCAAAGCACAGGGGGCACCCCCGGCCCCCCAGAACACGAAAGGCACCCCCAAAACACGGGGGGCACCCCCAGAACATGAGGGGCCCCCCAAGAACACGGGGGGCACTCCCGGCCACCCCAAAACATGGGTGGCACCCCCAAAACACGAAGGGCACCCCCAGAACATGAAGGACCCCCCCCCCGAACACGGGGGGCACCCCCAGAACATGAGGGGCACCCCCATAACACGGGGGGCACCCCCAGAACACGAGGGGCACCCCCAGAACATGAGGGGCACCCCCAGAACACGGGGGGCACCCCCAGAACAGGATGGGCACCCCCAGAACATGAAGGACCCCCCCAGAACACGGGGGGCACCCCAGAACATGAGGGGCACCCCCAGAACATGAAGGACCCCCCCAGAACACGGGGGGCACCCCCAGAACAGGAGGGGCACCCCCAGAACACGGGGGGCACCCCCAGAACACGGGGGGCACCCCCAGAACATGAGGGGCACCCCCAGAACAGGAGGGGCACCCCCAGAACACGGGGGGCACCCCCAGCCCTTGGCCCGAACTGGGCCCAGTTGGGCACTGGGATAACGCTGGGAATGGGGGGGGGGCTCAGCCCAACCCCGGGATCCCCCCCGGGGCTGTGGGGGGACACTTTGGGGGCTGGGGGTGCCGGGGGGTCTCGCTGGGGGTGGCAGGGGCTGTGGGGACAGCGGGGTCCCCGGGTCACCCGCGTGTCCCCCCCGTGGGTGCTGCTCCCTTAAGCTGCTTTACCCGGCCCGGGGGGGGCCGGGGGGGTCTAATCCGGGCTGAGCCGGCCCGGACACCCACGGAGGGGACACTGGGAGAGGGGGGGCCCGGGGGGGGCCCCAAATGTCCCCAGACACCCACCGAGGGGACACTGGGAGAGGGGGGGCCCGGGGGGGCCCCAAATGTCCCCGGACACCCCGAGGAAAGGGGATTCTGGGGGGGGGGAGGACCCCCCAAATGTGCCTTGTGCACCCCAAAGGAAGGGGGCTCGGGGCAGGGGGCCCACAAATATCCCAAAATGTGCCTTGTCCCCCAGGGAGGGGGGAAGCTGAGGGGGGTGGGGGGTCTGAGGGTCCCCAAGTACCCCAAGTGTCCCTGTGCCTTGTCCCTGGAAGGAAGGGGGTGCTGGGGGGGTCCCCAAATGTCCCTGTGCCTTGTCCCTGGAAGGAAGGGGGTGCTGGGGGGGTCCCCAAGTGTCCCTGTGCCTTGTCCCCCAGGAGAAGGGGATACTGGGGGATGTTGGGACAGAGGGTCCCCGAGGGTCCCCATTGAAGGGGACACTGGGAGGGGTGAGGGGTCAGTGAGGGTCCCCAAATGTCCCTGCTCCAAGTGAAGGGGAAACCGGGAGGGGTGGGGGACCCCAAATGTCCCTGTCCCTTGTCCCCATTACAGAGGACACTGGGAGGGGTGAGGGGTCAGTGAGGGTCCCCAAATGTCCCTGTTCCAAGTGAAGGGGACACCAGGAGGGGTGGTGGGACATGGGGGTGAGTGGTGACCCCACAGGCCCTTGTCCCCTGGAGAAGGGGGTGCTGGGCCCCCTCCCCCAGCCCCTGGGGGTTGGGGGTGGTTATGGGACCCCCCATGGGGTGGGGGTGGTTATGGGATCCCCTGTGGGGTGGGGGTGGTTATGGGATCCCCTGTGGGGTGGGGGGTGGTTATGGGACCCCTCTGTGGGGTGGGGGGTGGTTATGGGACCCCCCCATGGGGTGGGGGGTGGTTATGGGACCTCCTGTGGGGTGTGGGTGGTTATGGGACCCCCAGTAGGGTAGGGGGAGGTTGTGAGACCCCTCGTGGGATATGGGGCGGTTATGGGACCCCTCTGTGGGGTGGGGATGGTTATTTGATCCCCTGGGAGGTATGGGGGGGTTATGGGACCCTGTGCAGGTTGGGGGTGGTTATGGGACCCCCTGTGGGCTGGGGATGGTTATGGGAGCCCCCATGGGGTACGGTGTGTTACAGGACTCCCCTGGGGGGTACGGGGGGGTTATGGGATCCCCCATTGGCTGGGGATGGTTATGGGACCCCCCTGGGGGGTACGGGGGGGTTGTGGCCCCCCCCAAGCCCCCTGTGGCCCTGCAGGAGCAGGTGGAGTACGTGTTCCTCATCATCTTCACGGTGGAGACGTTCCTGAAGATCATCGCCTACGGGCTGGTGCTGCACCCCAGCGCCTACATCCGCAACGGCTGGAACCTGCTCGACTTCGTCATCGTCATCGTGGGGTCCGTGCGGGGGGGCCGGGGGGGCCCGGCCGGGGGGTGCGGCCCCGCGTGACCCCCCCTTGTGCCCCCCAGGCTGTTCAGCGTGATCCTGGAGCAGGTGTCCCACAAGCCGGGCGACGCCCACCACATGAGCGGCAAACCCGGCGGCTTCGACGTCAAGGCCCTGCGCGCCTTCCGCGTCCTGCGGCCCCTGCGCCTCGTCTCCGGCGTCCCCAGTGAGGCTCCCCGGGGGCTAAAAGGGGGGTTTTGGGGTGTCCGCCCCCTCGGCCTCGTGCCAGCCCCCCTCACACACACCCCCCCCCCCAGGCCTGCACATCGTCCTCAACTCCATCATGAAGGCGATGGTGCCGCTGCTGCACATCGCGCTGCTCGTGCTCTTCGTCATCATCATCTACGCCATCATCGGCCTCGAGCTCTTCATCGGCCGCATGCACAAGACCTGCTTCTTCATCGGCTCCGGTAGGGATGGGGGGGTCACCCCCCGTGTGCCCCCCCGGCCCACGACCCCCCAGAGTCAGGGACCCCCCCAGCAGTCCCTCAGTGCTCTGAGACGTCCCTGCACGGGGGCCAGGAGCCCCCCGGGACACCCCAGTGAGGTACAGGGGCCCTTTAACACACTGAGACCCCCCTAAAGCCCCTGAGACCCCCTGGGACACCCCAGCAAGGTACAGGGGTCCTTTAACACACTGAGACCCCCCTAAACCCCCTGAGACCCCCTGGGACATCCCAGGGACACCCCAGTAAGGTACAGGGGTCCTTTAACACACTGAGACACCCCTAAAGCCCCTGAGACCCCCTGGGACACCCCAGCGAGGTACAGGGGTCCTTTAACACACTGAGACACCCTAAACCCCCTGAGACCCCCAGGAACATCCCAACAGGGCTCTGGGACCCCTTTACACATTGAGACCCCCCACTAAAGCCCCTGAGACCCCTCAAAGCACCCAGGACACCCCGGGGACACCCCAGTGGGCTAATGGGGCTCCCAAAGCCCTGAGCCCCATCCCTGAGGGTCCTGAGACACCAACACCGGGGCAGCAGGTCCCGGAGGGGATCAGAGTGAACCGGGGGCAGGAGCTGGGGCAGCGCAGGGGAGGGGAGAGGGGGAGAGGGGGAGAGAGGAGAGGAGAGAGGGGAGAGAGGGAGAGGGGAGAGGGGAGAGAGGGAGAGGGGAGAGAGGGAGAGGGGAGAGAGGGAGAAGGGAGAGGGGAGAGGGGAGAGAGGGAGAGGGGGAGAAGGGAGAGGGGGAGAAGGGAGAGGGGGAGAAGGGAGAGGGGGAGAGGTGCCCCCAGGGGAGGGCTGTCAGTGGGACCCGGGGTTAACGGGGACGGGGACACGGTTCTCAGTGCCCGGGGTTATGGGGACAGTTCTCAGTGCCCGGGGTTATGGTGACAGTTCTCAGCAGTGCCCGGGGTTATGGGGACAGTTCTCAGCAGTACCGGGGGTTATGGGGACAGTTCTCAGCGGTGTCGGGGGTTATGGTGACGGTGACCGTTCTCAGCGGTGCCAGGTTAAGGGGACGGTGACAGTTCTCAGCCGTGCCAGGTTAAGGGGACGGTGACAGTTCTCAGCCGTGCCAGGTTAAGGGGACGGTGACCGTTCTCAGCGGTGCCGGGTTAACGCCGCACAGGAGCGGTGTCGGGCCGGGCCGAGGACTCTCGGTGGGGTAACGCCCGGGATTAAGGCCCGGGGTGACCGCCTGGGGTAACGCCCGGGATTAAGGCCCGGGGTGACCGCCTGGGGTGACCGCCCGGGATTAAGGCCCGGGGTGACCGCCCGCCCTCCCGCAGACCTGGAGTCGGAGGATGACCCGTCCCCGTGCGCGTTCTCGGGGCACGGGCGCGCCTGCCTGCAGAACAACACCGAGTGCCGCGGCCGCTGGGAGGGGCCCAACGGCGGCATCACCAACTTCGACAACTTCTTCTTCGCCATGCTCACCGTGTTCCAGTGCATCACCATGGAGGGCTGGACCGACGTGCTCTACTGGGTGAGACCCCGGAGCCCCCAGAGCCCCCCTGAGCCCCCCTGAGCCCCCCTGAGCCCCCCCAGATCCATACACACCCCAAACCCAGAGCATCACCATGGAGGGCTGGACCGACGTGCTCTACTGGGTGAGACCCCTGAGACCCCAGAGAACCCCCTGGCCCCCCTGAGCTCCCTGAGCCCCCCTGAGGCTCCTGTGCGCCCCCTGTAGCTTCCCTGAGCCACCCTGAGGCCCCTGAGCTCCCTGAGCCCCCCTGAGCCCCGTGAGCCCCAGAGCCCCCTGAGCCCCCAGAGCCCCCTGCGCCCTGAGCCCCCCTGAGCACCCAGGAGCCCCCGAGCCCCCTGAGCCCCCCTGAGCTCCCCTGAGCCCCCAGAGCCCCCCTGAGCCCCCCTGAGCTCCCTGAGCCCCCTGAGCCCCCCTGAGTCCCCCAAACCCAGAGCATCACCAGGGAGGGATGGACGGACGTGCTCTACTGGGTGAGACCCCAGAGCCCCCCTGAGCCCCCCCCCAGATCCAGACACCCCCCGTCGAGCCCCCCAGTGCATCCCCATGGAATGATGTGCTCTGCTGGGTGAGACCCCCAAAATCCAGACACCCCCCTGAGAGCCCCCCCAGTCCACACACCCCCCTCAGAGCCCCCCAGACCCAGCTCATCCCCATGGACTGACGTGCTCTGCTGGGTGAGACCCCCAAAATCCAGACACCCCCGTCAGAACCCCCCCCAGATCCATACACAGCCCCCTGAGCCCCCCAAACCCAGAGCATCACCAGGGAGGGCTGGACAGAGGTGCTCTACTGGGTGAGACCCCTGAGAGCCCCTGAGCCCCCCCCGGTTCGTACACCCCCCTCAGAGCCCCCCAGATCCATACACACTCCCCTGAGTCCCCCCCAATCCAGACACACCCCTCTGAGTCCCCCCCAGATCCAGACACCCCCCTCAGAGCCCCCCCAATCCATTCACAGCCCTCAGAGCCCTCCCAGCCCCAGTGCATCCCCATGGAATGACATGTTCTGCTGGGTGAGACCCCTGAGAGCCTCTGAGCCCCCCGATCCCATACACACCCCCTCAGAGCCCCCCCCATCATACACAGCCCCTAAGAGCCCCCACAGTACATACACCACACACCCCAGAAAAAAGAGCCCCCCAGTCCATACACACCCCCTTCGAAGCCCCCCAAGTTCATACACACCCCCTTGAGTCCCCCCAGATCCATACACACCCCACTGAGCCACCCCCAGCTCTGTACACCCCTCAGGAGCCCCCCCAATCCAGGACAACCCCTCAGAGACCCCCCAGAACCCAGCTCACCCCCTGGACTGACGTTCTTCTGGGTGAGACACCCAAAATCCAGACACCACACTCTTTGACAGCCCCCCAACCCAGGTCCGTTACACAGCCCCTCAGAGCCCCCCCGGATCATACACACCACACCCAGAGCCACCCTCACGGTTAAGAACCACCCCCTCAGAGCCCCCCCAGTCCATACACCCCCCTCCAAAACCACCCCAGGTCCATACACCCTTAGGCCCCCAGGTCCATCCACCCCCCCCAGAGCCCCCCCAGTCTATACACACCCCCCCTCAGAGCCCCCCCAGTCCATACACACACCCCCCAGAGCCCCCCCAGATCCATCCACCCCCCCGAGCCCCCCAGATCCATCCCCCCCCCCGAGCCCCCCAGCCCCAGCTCACCCCCCTGGCCTGACGAGCTCTGCTGGGTGAGACCCCCAAACCCGAGACCCCCAAAGTCCTTCCCCCCCCCCCGGGTGTCCCTGCCCGCCCCCCCCAACCCCCGAGGAGGGATTTGGGGTCCCCCCAGCCCCCCCAGCCCCCCGTGACCCCCGATCCCCCCCAGATGCAGGACGCGATGGGCCATGAGCTGCCCTGGATTTACTTCGTCAGCCTCGTCATCTTCGGCTCCTTCTTCGTCCTCAACCTGGTGCTGGGGGTGCTCAGCGGGTGAGGGGGCACGGGGGGCACGGGGGGGCACGGGGGGGCACAGGGGGGGCACGGGGGGGACACAGGGGGGCACAGGGGGGCACAGGAGGGGCACGGGGGAGCACAGGGGGGCACAGGGGGCACAGGGGGGCACAGCGGGGGCACGGGCGTGTTTGGGGTCCCACCTGGGTGTGTTTGGGGTCCCACCTGTATATTTGGGGTCCCACCTGTGTATTTGGGGTCCCACCCCTGTGTTTGGGGTCCCACCTCTATATTTGGGGTCCCACCTGTGTGTTTGGGGTCCCACCTCTATATTTGGGGTCACACCTGTGTGTGTTTGGGGTCACACCTCTATATTTGGGGTCCCACCTCTATATTTGGGGTCACACCTCTATATTTGGGGTCCCACCTCTATATTTGGGGTCCCACCCGTGTGTTTGGGGTCCCACCCGTGTGTTTGGGGTCCCACCTGGATATTTGGGGTCCCACCCGTGTTTGGGGTCCCACCCGTGTGTTTGGGGTCCCACCTCGATATTTGGGGTCCCACCTGTATATTTGGGGTCCCACCTGTATATTTGGGGTCCCACCCGTGTGTTTGGGGTCCCACCTCTATATTTGGGGTCCCACCCGTGTTTGGGGTCCCACCCGTGTGTTTGGGGTCCCACCTGTATATTTGGGGTCCCACCTGTATATTTGGGGTCCCACCCGTGTGTTTGGGGTCCCACCTGTATATTTGGGGTCCCACCCGTGTGTTTGGGGTCCCACCCGTGTATTGGGGTCCCGTTCCCCCCAGGGAGTTCTCCAAGGAGCGGGAGAAGGCGAAGGCTCGCGGGGACTTCCAGAAGCTGCGGGAGAAGCAGCAGCTGGAGGAGGATCTGCGGGGCTACATGGACTGGATCACCCAGGCCGAGGACCTGCAGGGCGACGACGACGAGGGGGAGCACGAGAAGCACCGTCAGTGGGGCCGGGGGGGGGCACGGGGGGGCGCCCCCCGACCCTGAGCCCCCCCAGACCCCCTGACCCCCCCGAACCCCCCAGGCCTGACCGCCGAGGAGCTGATGGGGAAGAGGAAACCGCGGCTCAAGTGGCTGCGGCACGCGAGTCACTCCACGGACACCCACGGTGGGATGGGCTGGGACCCAAACCCAAATACAGGGACCCCAAACCCCAAATACAGGGACCCCAAACCCCTGAACTCAGGGACCCCCAACCCCTGAACTCAGGGACCCCAAATCCCCAAATACAGGGACCCCAAACCCCAAATACGGGGACCCCAAACCCCTCAACTCAGGGACCCCAAACCCCTGAACTCAGGGACCCCCAAACCCCTGAACTCAGGGACCCCCAACCCCTGAACTCATGGGACCCCCCAAACCCTGAACTCAGGGACCCCACACCCCAAATACAGGGGACCCCAAACCCCCTGAACTCAGGCACCCCAAACACCAAATACCGGGACCCCCAAACCCCTGGAATCAGGACCCCCAAATCCCCAAATACAGGTGACCCCAAAACCCTGACCTCAGGGACCCCAAAACCCCTGAACTCAGGGGACCCCAAAACCCCTTGAACTCCGGGACCCAAATCCCCAAATACGGGACTCCAACTCCCCAAAATACATGGACCCCAACACCCCTGAAACTCAGGGACCCCAAATCCCCACTACGGGGACCCCAAACCCCTGAACTCAGGAACCCCAAACCCCAAATACAGGGACCCCAAACCCCTGAACTCAGGGACCCCCAAATCCCCAAATACAGGGACCCCAAACCCCTGAACTCAGGGACCCCCAAACCCCTGAACTCAGGGACCCCCAACCCCTGAACTCAGGGACCCCAAATCCCCAAATACAGGGACCCCAAATCCCCAAATACAGGGACCCCAAACCCCTGAACTCAGGGACCCCCAAATCCCAAATACGGGGACCCCAAACCCCTGAACTCAGGGACCCCCAAACCCCAAATACAGGGACCCCAAACCCC